CCCGGAAAGGCTTCTCTGGGGAGGTGATTTTTAGAATTTTTATTTGGCATCTATTTCACATGCTATCATACTCACTCTTTAAAAGTGCCCAATTCAATGGGTTTCAATAAATTCACAAGGCTGTGAAACCATCACCACTATCTAATTCCAGGAGATCTCCATCATTTTACAAAGGTCCCCACGCCCGTCAGCTCTCACCCCCATTCTTCCCTTCCCTCCCCGGAACCTCTCATCTACTTCCTGTCTCCATGGACCTGCCTGTTCTGGACATTTCATAGAAATGGAATCATATATATGTGTTTGTTGTGACTGGTTTCTTTCCCTTAGCGTAATGTTTCAAAGTTTGCTCACGTGGTAGCATGTGTTGGTATTTTATTTATTTTTATGACAGAATCATATTTCATTGTGTGGATAATACCACCTTTTTTATCCATTCATCCATTGGTAGACATTTGTGTTGTTTCCACTTCTTGGATTTTGTAATGTTGCTAGGGACATTTGTGCATAAATGTTTTCGTGGGAACATATGTTTTCATTTGTCCTGGGTGTATACCTGGGAGTGGAATTGCTGGGTCATATGGTATTGAATAATTCTATGTGTAACTGTTGGATAAGCTGCCAAACTATGTTCTTCTGAGCAGCTGTGCCATTTTACATTCCCACCAGTGGAGCATGAGGGTTCTAATTGCTCCACATCCTTGCCAACCCTTGTTATTACCTGGCTTTGTGATTCTAGCCATCCTAATGAATATGAAGTAGTATTTAACTGTAATTTTGATTTGCATTTCCCTAATGACTAATAACATTGAGGATATTTTCATATGCTTATTGTTCATTTTTATATCTTCTCTGAAGAAAGTCTATTCAAGTAATTTCCCTTTTTAAAATTGGGCAATTTGTGTTTTTATGTTGAGTTATAAGTGTACTTTATATATTATTGATACTAGACTCTTATCAGATATGTGATTTGCAAGTATTTTCTCACGCTCTGTATCTTGTCTTTTCATTTCCTTGATAGTGTCCATCGATGTACAAAAGTTTTTAATTTTGATGAAGTCCAACTTGTCTATTCCTTTGGTTGCATGCTATTTGGGTGTATAGAGAAGAATTCATTGTCAAAGCCAAAGTCACAGAGATTTATATATCTTCTCTTAGAGTTGTACAGTTTTAGCTCTTACGTTTAGGTCTTTGATCCACTTTTGGTGAGGTCTCACCTCATTCTTTTGCATGTAGACATCCAGTTGTCCCAGAGCCATTTGTTGAAGACTGTTCTTGTCTTGGCGTCTCAACTCGTTTTTGTACCTGTGTTTGTGGGGTGTTGATTTTCTTCACTTCCTTGGAATCCTTCTTTACCCAAACATCATTTTCTCTGGCCCTGTGGAGTTCCACCCTCTGCCTGCGTAGACCGGTATTTAGATATGGTCTTGAGGACCCCTCTGTATGTTTTGGGAGCTCTTCCTCTACACAGCGCTCTCCTGTCTGCTTCCTTGTCTCCCACATTCTAGTCATCTGCGATGCCCAGAGTCCAACCTGCATCCTGCCCACGCCGTCTGACTCCTTGCTCTGTTGGGTTCCTCTCTCTGTGGTGGCTTGAAATTCCTTCCAGGCATAAAGCTGCCATGATCCAGCTGAGCTTGTTTACTCCCACTCTCAGGTATCACAGCCTGTGCTGTCTGCATCCGGTGTCTGAACACAAGCGTTTCATACCTGGGGGCCAGTTTCCCTCTGTTTGTGGTGGGACAGTTAGGTCCATCCCCTGTTCTCCTGGATGCCCAGGTAGAAATCAATGCGCCCTCCTGGGTTATTGCTGCGTCTTTCTGACTGCTTTCTTTGCTTCTGTATTCGGCCCCCAAATATCCTGGGTTATTGCCGCGCCTTTTCTAACTGCTTTCTCTGCTTCTGTATTCGACCCCCAAATCTGTGCTCAGTGCAGCAACTGGAGAGACCCCTTAAATACGGAAGTTGCAGCTTTGCCTTTGTCGGAGCTCCCCAGGGTCCTTCACTCAGAGTACAAGCTGAAGTCCTCGTCGTGGTCCTCATGCCCTTCACAGCAGTTCCGCCCTCTCCCCAGGTTCACGTACGGCCAGTCTCCCTGGATCATTTGCTGTGGCCGCTCTGCCGCGTGTTCCTGGAAACTGCCAGTGCTCTCCTACCTCCAGGCTGGCACTGGATGCTCCTGCCACCTGGACTCCTCTTCCAGCTGACGAGCTCGTAACTTGCTTCCTTCAGGTCTTAAATTCGATGTTTGAATGCCACCTTGGCGAGGCTGTTCTTCATCATTTCATTTAAAGGACCAATAACCCCTTGTCCCGGCACTCCCTGTCCAACTTGTCCACTTTGCTTTTTCCATAACACTGATCACCATTTAAAATAATATATAATTCTATGAAATATATAATATATAATTCTATTTCTATGAAATAATATATAATTCTAGTGACCCATAGGATCCAGAGACAATAGATTGAACAGGGATTGCTTGCACAATGAACAATCAGCTATAGAGGTTTAAAGAGAACCACAAAGAATGGCTCAGGATTGCAGGAGGGCAGTTAAGGAAGACATAAATGGGGGCGGGGATCCTTTCCACAAGCCTGGGTTCAGATCTCATGGGAAAAGGTGTGATTCTCCCAAGGGATGCTAGAGAAGTTTGCTGGGTTGCCCCAGCCACAGCTGGCCCATGGTCAGAGCAGAGGCCAGCAGGCAGGGAAATGCAGTCTGTGTCTGGCAAGCAGGAAGCCTCTTTTCCCTCCCAAGGCAGGTGGGCTGGGGCTGGGAAGCCTACAAAAGTCACTGGGAACCCACATGTGCGGATGCCACTGAATCTCCACAGGAAGCCATCTGGGGGGTCCCCTGAATTCAATGTGGTGAGTGCCGCCAGATGTTCCTGACTTGTGCCACTGCCATCTGTATAGTAAGAGAAAGAAAAAGAGAGAAATGAAAGCATCCTAGAACCAGGCATCCTGGACCCAGCCTGGGAGGCACTTTCCCCTATGCCTCTACTAACAAAGCTTAGCATCGCGCCAGGTGCACAAGAAAAACGCCTGCTGGCTCCAGCTCCATTACCTCGGAACCGGCCATGAAGGGTGCATGTGGAGCTGGAGGCGAGACATTGATAGCTGGAACCACAATTCACTTATTTATTTTGTTCGTTTTATGTCCCCTGCACCTAGAATAGGAGCCACACAAGTGCAGGACATTTGTTTTATTCACTGATGTATTCCTTGTGCCCAAAGAATGAGAGGTATCTAGAAAGTCTGCAAAAATCCAACATACAAATGAACCTTTATCATAGTTATTTTGATGGATATTTGAGGCGTTTCCAAGATTTGTAAGTAAAGATTGAGCCCATCTACCGATTCATATGTGGGAGTGTATCTGTTGAAATGATGCTTCTGAGTGGAGTTGCTGAGTCTTTGGCTCTAAGTTCTTCTTTTTTTTTTTTTTTTTTTTAAAGCGTTTATACTCATTGTGGTTTTTAAAATAAACATTTAATCTTGAGACACTGCAGATTCCCAGGCAGTTGTAAAAAGCCACACAGAGCTATCATGTGTATCTTCACCTGGCTTGCTCTAGCCCCAACCCCAGCAGTGACAGACCTGTTATCCACTACTGCAATCTGCTCATTTCAAGAATGTCATCTATTGCAATCATAAAATTGTGGGATTGGCTTTTTTTCCCCCATGCAGCAGCATCATTCTCTGGAGAATCATCCCATTGTTGCATTTATCAGTAGTTTATCCCTTTTTACTTCTGAGTAGTGCTCCGTGGTATGGATGTACCACAGTCTGTTTAACCATTCACCTGTTGGAGGACATCTGTGTTTATAGATTTGGGCTATGACACATGTACAGGTTTTTGCATTGACATCAGTTTTCATTTCTCTGGGACAAAGTCCCAGGGGTCCTATTGCTGGGTTCTATGCTTGTTGCAGGGTTAGCTTGTTTTTGTTTTGTTTCATTTTGTTTTGTTTTAACCTGTCAAGCCATTTTTCAGAAGCTGTCCAGTTTCCATGCATCCTCACCAGCTTCAGTGTGATCACTATGATCTTATCTCAGCCACCTTGATAGGTATGTACTGATTTATCATGGCTTTTATTTGCGTTTCACTGATGACTAATGGCGTTGAGCATCTTTTCATGTGTTTATTGCCTTCTGTAAGTCCTCTCTAGTCAAGTGTCCCTTCACATCTTTTGTCTACATTCTATTTTTGAAACTGATGAGTTTTGAAAAATTCTTTATAAAGTATAGAAACTAATTCTTTGTTGAATATGTAGTTTGTCAATATTTTCTCCCAGTCTTTAGCTTCTCTTTTTATTCTCTTAACAGGGTCTCTTACAGAGCAAAAGGTTTTTATTTTGATGAAGTCTATTTTAACAATTTTTCCTTTTATGGATCATATTTTTGGTGACAAATCTAAAACCTCCTGACCCAGCTCCAAATCCCAAAGGTTTTCTTTTTGTTTTCTAAAGCTTTTATAGTTTTAAGTTTTATGTTTAAGTCTATGATCCATTTTGAGTTAATATTCATACAGGGTATGAGACCTAGGTTGTGGTTCTTCTGTTTGTTTGGTGGTTTTGTCTGTGGATGTCCAGTTGCTCCAGCCCATTTGCTACAAAACTATCTTTCATTGAATTGCTTTTGCATCTTTGTAAAAACTTAATTGAGTATATGTGTGCAGGTCTGTTTGAGGATTCTTTATTGTCTGTCTCATTGATCTATGCATCTGTCCATCTGCTAGCTATATAATGAGTGTTGAAAGGGTAGCCTGTAGCAGGGTATGGTGGTGTGCACCTGTAATCCCAGCTACTCGGGAGGCAGAGACAGGAGAATCGCTTGAACCTGGGAGGTGGAGGCTGCAATGAGTCGAGATTGTGCTACTGCACTCCAGCCTGGGTGACAGACCAAGACTGTGTCAGAAGAAGGAGGAGGAGGAGGAGAAGGAGGAGGAGGAGGAAGAGGGGAGGATGAGGAGGAGGGGAGGACAAGGAGGAGGGGAGGATGTATGTGAAGGCCATGGTGGTCGATAAGGACTTTCCGGAGGACAGGAAGCCCAGGAAAGTGTTCCCAGTGAAGGTGACAGCCCTGGGCGGTGGGGACTTGGAAGCCACATTCACCTTCATGTGAGTGTTGCCCACTGCGGGGCCCCTCAGGCCACTATCTCCCCTCCCCAGACCCACCTGGTGCCCATTGCCCCATCCTTGTTTCGAGTGTCGGTAAGAATCACCCCTGCCTTGGAGGGAAACATCTCAGGCATCGTAAAGCTCGGTGGGGTGGGGGGCAGTGGAATTTTCAGGTGCCAGGTCAGGGCCATGCACCAGGTGAGCTGAGGATAGCCCAGGTGTGTCCTGGGAGCCGCTGCCCGCGTGTCTCCTGTTTTCCAGGAGGGAGGATCGGTGCGTCCAAAAGAAAATCCTGATGCGGAAAACGGAGGAACCCGGCAAATTCAGCGCCTGTGAGCCCCTCCCCCACCCCACCCCCACCCTCCCCCACTGCCAACCCCAGCTGTACCAGCCCCACCACAGGCAGAGAGTGCCCGGGCTGCCCTTTTGCCAGGGTCCCAGCCTTGCCCACTTCCAAGGAGGGGCTGGCCCCTCCTTCCTCGGAGGCTGGTGCCCCTGACATCAGACACCAGGTGTGTCCAGGGAACCTGGCTGACCACTGAGACATTCCTGAGTGTTTCTTCGTGTGGTCCAAGTGTTCTCTCTGTGAATGACCCATCTTCTCTGTCATCTACAGATGGCGGCAGGAAGCTCATATATGTGCAGGTGCTGCCCAGGAGGGACCACTTCGTCTTTTACTGCCAAGACCAGCACCGTGGGGGCCTGTTCCACATGGGAAAGCTCATGTGTGAGGGGCCCGCTGGGGCCTGCGTGTCCTGCCCCACTGTCTCTGCCTCCAGAAGCCAGTGGAACCAGCATCACCACGCCCTGGCATGCGGGGAAGAGGAAGCCCCCTGTGCCAGCCTTCATGTGCCGGGCACCACTGGGCAGCCGGTCCAAGTACCTGAAGTGGGAATGGGGTGGGCCAGGCAGGGACAGACATGGCCTCAGTGACATGAACCTGCCCAGGACCACTTCTGGGGTCTCCAGTGTAGGAGGGTCACCTGAAGGGGGAGGTAGCATCCTAACAGGGCTCTTCATGGCGCAGGGAGCCTCCAGGGTGGGAGGGTGGCCAGTGCCTCTGGGACACAAGGTCCCTCGAGGTGAGGGCTGTGACCCTGCAGGTTGGCTTTGGGAGCTGCCCAGGTCCCCTGGGGTTGCTGAGTGGCTTGGAGAGTCCCCGCCACTGTCCCCCTTCCTGGGGACCTCTCATCTGGGCAGTGGCCATCTCCTCTGTCCCCAGTCCCACCCCTGAGCTCTCATCCATTCTTGGGCCTCCTCTCCTGCTTGTCCGGTGCTGGGCTGTGGCCATGTCTTCTGTCCCCAGCCCCACCCCAGAGCTCTGGTTCACTCTTGGGCCTCTCCCCCTGTCCTGGTGCTGTGCAGTGACCATCTTCTCTGTCCCCCAGTCCCACTCCAGAGCTCTCGTCCAGTCTCGGGCCTCCCCTCCCCCTTGCCCGGTGCTGGTGGTGACCGTCTCCTCTGTCCCCAGCCCCACCCCTGAACTCTGGTCCACTCTTGGGCTTCTCCCCCTGTCCTGGTGCTGGGCCGTGGCTGTCTTCTTTCAGCATCTGCTCCCTGCAGGGCCATGTCGCTGTCCCCATCTCGGCTCACCTGTAGCCACCTCACCTGTAGGTAGGAATCCCGACATCAACATGGAGGCCCTGGAAGAATTTAAGAAATTCATGCAGCACAAGGGACTCTCAGAGGAGGACATTTTCATGCCCCTGCAGATGGGTGAGAGGACGGCTGTGCCCAGTCCCCCGTGTTTCCCCCGTGTCTCTCTGTGACCTTCAGTGTCCCATGACCCCCATGTCCTCCCATGTACCCCGCATTCCCCGTGTGCCCTGAGTCTCCTCACAGGGACTCCCGGGCCATGCTTAGGGTTCTTGTCATTGAAGAGTCTGAACTCTGGGCTGCGATGGGGTCCGGGCCCTGCTTAGGGTCCTCGTCGTTGGAGGTTCTGAGCGCTGGGCTGTGATGGGGTCCAGGCCCTGGTCCAGGGCGTCTTCTCATCCTTGGGTTTTTCTTGGTCTCTGCAGGAAGCTGCGCTCCCGAACACTAGCGTGAGTGAGCCTTTGGGAGGACACTGGACAAGCCCAGAGTCCTGGGTTCCCAGGGTTCAAGGGTCCATCTGTTCTGGCTCCTGCCATCCCACATAAGCAGGGAGACCCCCCGGGGTCAGGCACGAGGTTGGCACCTCTCAGAGTCCGCCCACTCACAATTCCTGGGACATTTGGGAAGTCCTTTGTTTCACCTATTCCCGCGCCTGCCAGCCCGAGTGAGCGTCCTCCTCGGCCCTTCCACAGCGAGGCCTCCCTCGGGCTCCCTCAGGTGTCAGCTCAGCCCATCGCCCCCTGCATCTGTCCCCACTCGGTCGACTCCCCCCAATCCACTCACTGAGGATGCTCAGAGGCCTGCCCGGTCATTGGAGGAGCTGAGGTTACTCGGGAACCCCAAGGCTGCCCAGCAGTGGCTGATGTGGGGGCTGCAGAGCCTGGAGAGGGAGCTCTGGGCCTGGCCTCTGCCCTACCCTATAGCCTCCCTAACCTCTGCTCTTCCTAGCACAGCAGCCCCTAGTCTGCACCCAGAGTCCACCCTGCTGCCAGACACGGAGCCCAGACCGCCTGGACCTATCCCCCAGCCATGACCCTTCCCTGCTCCCACAAGAGCTTCTCCCCCAGCTCTGGGCAGGCCTATCTGTGGGGATGGAGGGACTTGCACTGGCTCCCTGGGAGGCCTGCTGGGAGGTGGAGCCACAAGGGAAGCTGGGGAGACATTGGACCTAGCAAGCGTCAAACCACGAGAGGCATGACGTCAAACAGGCCTGCAGGGCCACGTGATGTCCTGGAGGGGCCTCCTGTAGAGCCACCCTCAGGTCTCAGGTTCAGCTTAGGACAAGCAGGGCCCTGGGCAGGAGCGTTTGGAAAGCCACTGGGGAGGACAGGAGTGGGGACACAGCGTCAGAGCTGCAGCAGTGGGGCCACTGCAGGGCTCCTGTCCCAGGGGTCTCAGAGGGATCCTCCGAGCGGCCCCACTTTAGCAGCCTGGGTTCAGTAGCAGCGCTGGAGAGAGGGGCACTGGTGCCTCCATCATCACCCCCAGAGCAAGGCAGAGCCAGCCCTGCTCTCCGAGATTCTTGGCCCCACCCTGGCCTTCCCATGGTTTGTTCAAGGGCCATGGTCTGCTCAGACACTGGGGCTGCTGGGACATGAGGAGGCCGACCCCAGCGAGGGAAGAGAGGCCACTGCACCGCAGTGATAAACACGCTCCAGGAGCCACAAACCCAAGCTGGACAGGCCTCCCAAGGGTCGAGCCTTCAAAGTGACCGCCTTTCCCCAGGGCCGCACCAAGTAACCACTGCCCGCCTCCCGCCCAGACCAGCATCCTCACCTCCTCCTCTCCCACCTGGACGTGATTCTTGGCTTAGACTACAGGGTGGTCCTGAAGTGAGCCAGGCCAGCAGGGCCCAGGTGAGCTGAGGTGGAGCCAGCTTGGGTATCCACAGGCCACATGTGGAGGGCAGGGCAGACCTCACCCCACAAAGATGGGTGAGCAGTAAGCCATCTCCCTCACCCAGTGCTACCATGCAGATTCCAGAAAGGTTAGGATGTGTGTACAAATTCAAGATTGGTTGGTTATTTGCTATAAACTTAAAAAGTTAAAAAAAAAAATACATCTATATGAAATTGGCCGGGTGCAGTGGCTCACATCTGTAAATATTTTGGGAGGCCGAGGAGAAAGGACACTTGAGGCCAATGTTCGAGACCAGCCTGGGAAACATAGCGTTACTTCATCTCTATTTGTAAAAAGAGGAAAAAATAAATAAATAGTAAAAATATTTACCTGGTGGAAAAGGATTTTTGACACATCTAAGCAGTGGGGAGAGTCTCCTTGGGAAAGACAGAGATTGGACTGCAGAGCGCTGAGCGTGGGTGCAGGGATGATACTGGCAGGACGTAGGCACATGAGAAGCTGGGAAGTACGTTCCTGCCCACTTGGAGGGCCTGGCATGGGCACCTGTGGGTTTCCCTTCATCCCTGCCTGGGCTGTTGGTCCATTCATCTGCCTTATCCATCCAATGTCCTGGCCACCTTGTGAGGGGTGGACCATGGACCTGTAGCCCCGGGAATGTAGCCCTTGAGGTGGGAGGCTCTGTCCTGGCGGACATGGGCCCCATCATCCGTTTCTGCTCCCGAGAGCCCCGGCCCCATGCGACTTCCCCTTCCAAGCTCAGCACCCCCCAATTCCACCCACAAACTCTCCGGTCACTGAGTCACATGAAGCCTCTTCCCATGGCTCCTAACCATGGGGCCCTCACAGACACCCAACATCTCAAATATTTGAGGACAGTGTCCCGAATAAGTCAGGAAAATTTTCACTCGCAACCCAAGCATGGCAGAGGCGCCGAGCAGAATCTCTCCAGGAGCAAAACGAGCCTTTCAGTGTTTGAAAATCAAGAAATCACCGACGCAAAGGAGGGCAGTGGAGCTTTTGCGTTCTTTCAAAATGAATTTTTAAATATATGTACAAAGGGACACATGTATCCTGGAGACGGGGCACCAGACGGGTTCTCTCTGACATGACTTGTTCACTAGGGGCCGAGTGTCCAGGCTGAGAGCGAGGGCCCCAGGCAGACCGAGAAGTGTGACACGGGGCTCGTGGGTCACCAGCCTTCCGGAAAGTACTTGACTTCTGTTTCTTTGTTCGTAAAATGAGGACCACAGGAGCACTCGCCAGCAGGGTTGCTGTGAGGACTGGGCACACATCTACACACAATCTCACACATGCACACACATATGCACACACACACACCCCTACACACACCTATACATGCTCTCACACATGCACACACACACAGTCTCACACCCGCACACACACCTACCTACTCACAATGCACCCCCTGGTATACAGGCCTGGTACAGCCTAAGTCTACATGTCTGTCAATGGTGTCCTTCTTGCTAGAGGGTATAATCCGCATGCCTGCTGTGGTCTAACTCCATGTCTGGACTCAATATTCGGAAAACAAAGATGCTGGAGTCAGCCGTGGTGGCGGGTACCTGTAGTCCCAGCTCCTCAGGATGCTGAGATGGGAGGATCGCCTGAGCCTAGGAGTTTGAGACCAGCCTGGGCAACAGCAAAACTCCGTCTCAAGAAAATAAAAAAATGCTTTTAAAGACATAAGCAAGCAGTCATTATCCATGGAAGGATTTCAAATCACACCACTCCATATAGCAAAAAATAATTAATTTTGTTTTTCTCGTGTGAGTTCCCCAGAAGCAGATAAGACAGACGGAAGCTCAAGTGGCTTACGTAGCAGGTGGTCCCGGGAGACTCTGGTAGGGTGGGGGAGGTGGCGTCGGCAGGGAAGGCCACTGGTGAGGGGTCCAGCATCAAGATGACCACTTGCGACCCAGTGGGGCTCAGTCCCTGGTGTTGCCATGGTTTATACCAGCTCCAGCCGGTCATGGGATAGGGATGCTTCCATAGGGCACTAATTCCTGGCACTTCCTGCCGCCGCAGGGCAGGGCAGCTTTGGTAGAAAGACGAACCTTCGAGAGAGAGAAGCTGAGAACACTGAGTGCAACACTCAGTTTCACTAAGTCTTCTGTGTGTTATTCTAGTTCATGCATAACAGTTGGTTTTTTAAGTGCGGTGGAAATGTGGCCGGCGTGGCCTGCTATGGCGAGACCCAAGGGGCTATGACGGACCCCATGGCACCCGCTGCAGTCCAGCCCTGGCAGCTTCAGAACACTCATGCCCCACACTGAGCTCACACTTAGCTGCCACCGAGTCTTCAAGGTGACATTTGCCTGTGATAATTTCTAAAAAAACAAAAAAGACAGAAGTCTTAGAACAGAAACATTCTTGGGCTGGGCGAGGCTCAGGCTGTGGCGGTCGGTGCCGGGCGTGGCTGATGTCCATCCTTTCCTCCTCACCGCTGGCCAGGGGTTCAGCTGGACTAGGTTGCTTCTCCAGTGGGATAGCACCGACCTTCAGGGTTCTGAGCTCCCGGCTGTGCACCTTGGAGATCTGTGTTCCTGCTGTGCCAATTCACAGGCCTGGAAGAGGGTGCCCAGAGAACCCTGGAGTTCTGTGCGTCCACCCCCTGCCTCTCCCATGGGACGGTGCACCTGCTGCTTGGTGACAGCCAGACTCACTCATCCAGCAGTAGGTTAGCAAGACTATCACACTGTACGGACAAAAGAGAGATGGGCAGAAGTTAAAAAAGTTCTAATTTGCCTACAAAAGTAAAGGTGGCATCTGGCTCGCTCCTGGGCCCTAGGGAACACTGAGCACCTGCCCAGAGGATGCCAGTGATGGTGGGGCTGGAGCTGCCTGTCTCACCTGGCATTGCCAAAGGTTCAGTGGGCAGAAACCCTCAGCCGTCTGAAGAAGCGGTGCATTTCAGATCAGGCCCCAGCAGGAAAGTCCCATGAGGCCCTGGTGAGAACCGGCCAGAGGACATGGAGTCCCAGTTACCTGTTGGACACCATGGTGTGGGCAGGTCCAGGAAGCTTTTCTTCTCCTTTTTTTTTTTTTTCTTTTATGAGACACTGTCCTTCTCTGTTGCCTAGGCTGGAGTGCAGTAGCGCAATCACAGCTCACTGTAGCCTTGATATCTCAGGCTCAGGTAATCCCACCTCAGCCTCCTGAGTAGCTGCCACCACAGACATGCACCACCATGCCCAGGTAATTTTTTGTTTGTTTGTTTTGTTTAGAGACAGAAACTCCCTATGTTGTCCAGGCTGGTCTCAAACTCCTAGGCTCAGATGATCCTCCTGCCTTGCTTGGCCTCCCAAAGTGCTGGAATTCCAAGCATGAGCCACCGACTGTGCCTGGCCTCTTCTCTTCTTGTTGGTATTTGTCTATTACACATAGTGAACAGCAGGAGAAATATACCCAAAGGCTGGTGGCAGTGCCCTCCCCTAACTCACCCCTAACCCCACCAACAGACTCCAAACAGAACCAGAGCCTGGAGGTTTATTCTCTCAATGCAGGGGGATTCCGTTGCCACTCGCTGCCATCTCTGCAGGATCACTCCCATATGTCTTCCCTTGGACCTGACTGTACTCAGTGTCAAGCCCCCACCCATCCGCTTCCTGGTGAGCGCCTCTCATTCGCTCCTCTCCTTGGATGGGCGCTTGTCTCCCCCTAGGTCACTTCACTTTGTTCTGTTCCTGGCCCAGTGCCGCACTCTTGGATATCAGCCTTTATTTCCGAACAATTCATGGATGCTTGTTCTTCCTTTCTGGCAGCATTTAGAAGTTCATTTTATTTAAAAACAAAACAAAAAAAAAAAATTAAAAAAAAAAAAAAACGCTTTATATTCTTGATCTTTCGAGATCTTTCCAGGATCATTTATTTTCATCTTTTAAGTCCAAGAGCTTTCCAGGATGGGCAGGCCTGTGTCTCTCCTCATCTGCCTTGCCTGAATGTGTGAGCGCTTGCGCATTCCTTCTGCTCGGGGAAATGTTATGCCATTCTTGGTCTCCTGTCCTCCACCCGTGCGCCTCGCCTCGCTGCTCCTGGAACGCCCGGGGTTTGCAGGGAAGGCTCCCGCGCGCCCTGCCCCCTCCCGCCCGCGGGCTCTCCCTCAGCTCTGGCTGCGAGCTTCCTCTTCGTAGTGGCCTTCACCTTCTGTCTAGC